TGGCTGTCAGTTGGGCTGCAACTTGGTTTTCTTCCCAGACCTGGAGAGATCCAGGTTCAGGGGGCCAGACTTCCTGATCAAGGTGGGCTTGCAGAGCCCGTGGTAGGGAAGGGGCTCACAGATAGCTGGATTCACAAAGCTCCACGCTTCTGGGACTCCTGCACCCGGGGGCAAAGCGGTCCTTGTGTTACAAGGACTGCCACCTTCTGCTGCACACACGGGTGCTCACCCAGGTGACTCAGAACCCCGGGCGGGAGGTGACTTGCTCTCAGCACAAGCTGGGTAAGAAGGCAGGGGAGATCTTTTATATTTGTATTTGTTTTCAGTTCGAAATTTAAAGGGTGAGTGTGGATGATTTTGAAATTTAGATTGTCCTCCAGTGGAACTGGGTAAATGAGGCTTTCCTGAACCCATTCACTCTCTGATTATTCTCGCAAGCCACGAAGGAAAATAAAACAGATGTGTTTAGCCCGGGCCTCATATGCTGGCATTGGAGACCCTTGAAAGGAAACGCAGGCGATCAGGTGGCAGATGCTTGGTTTGCAAAAGGGAGTCCTGGTAGTGCTGCGGATCAGGCTCTGGGCACGGCTGACTGGGTGCAAACCCACCTGTCGCTTCTCCCCAGTCAGCTCCTTGAAGGTGGTGCTCCACACGCCCTAAGGCACAGTCCTGCACGCCACACTCGATGTGATGATGGTGGGGTTGTTTGGGGTGTTTTCGGTTGGTTTGTAAAATCGTGTGGTGTCTTTAGAGCCCAGCCTGAGGGCACAAGCACAGGGATTTGCCACCAGACTTGGCTGCTTAGCAGGTGCAAGTGCCCGTCCAGGAATGAATGTGCTTCTCCGTGTCCCCGTTTACCACCCGAAAGAGAGGTAGAATAAAGGCCCCCCACGGGCTAGCCTAGTGGTGGAGGGTCAGGGAAGTGGTATCTCTGAGGGTTTAGATCAGCAGTCAGCGTTTAGCCTTTGCTGGCTGATGTGTTTTTTTAACCCCTCTGTCACCCTTGCTGCTTAAGGACAGAGCTGAACACAGGAACACGTATGCTGAGTTAACGTGGGGTCCCCGGGGTGCAGGCGGTGGGAATTTCACCTCAACGCTATGGTACGGGTTCTCCTTTGCTAAGTTCCATATGGTTTTATTAGTTGATCAGGTTGCTCCCCCAAACATCTCTTGGGCTGTGTTAACAGAAGAAGAAAAGAAATACCATGACTTGTTGCTGTGTTCCTTGTATGGTTACCGCATCTGCTCAAGTAGTGCTGAGCGAGTGAAGGTGGTCTGAAGTACACGGTGGCTGAGACATGATCCCGCCTTCACTGGGATTGGGGATTGGGACAGCGGCTGGGATGGCAGGGGCGAGGGTTGGCCAAGGCAAATAAAGAGGCTGGGGGCCCCAGTGGTCCAAGATGTCGAGCTTGCCCTGACTGTTGATGAGCATGATTTTCTCCACGCAGAAATAAAGCGATGGAGTGCTTCAGCTCTCCAGCAGTCCTGCGGAAATGGTATAGCCTACCCTGTTTCCCCACAAGTAACACATCCCCTGAAAATAAGACCTCCCTGAAAATAAGGCCCCCCGAAGCTACCGTGACTCTGGACTGTAGTGGTGGGCACAGCCCAGCCGGAGCAGACAGGAAGTGTGAGGTCTCTTTTAATAAAACAATAAATGTGTGCTGTATTCTTCTTCATGGAAAAATAAGACATCCCTTGAAAATGAGACCTAGCACATCTTTGGGAGCAAAAATTAATATAAGACACTGTTTTATTTTCGGGGAAACAGGGTACCTACCTCGCTCTCGTTTGGGGTGTGACGTTGGGTTGGGTCAGTTGCAAAGTGAATCGGAAGTCTTGGTAGGAATGTGGCGTCCCCACCGCCTGGAGGGGGCTGGGATTTGTTTGCCAAAGGCCCTGGTAGCCTTCAATCTGTCAAAGTGTTGCAAGCTGGGAGCAGTTTGCCAAAGCAAACTATCAAAGTGAAATAACACTCGAGTCTCGGGTCTCCCGTGCGCACACAGACACACACGCTCCCCGAACGATCATTTCAAATTGGGTCAGGAGGAAGAAGCAAGGGCTTCTAGGCTGGAGGTTTGGGCACGACTACAACCTGCCACTTACCTAGGTATGTGTGAGCAGGGTGGGGCCTCTTCCAACCGAGGCATGTGAGCAGGGGAAGACCCCTCCAGCCCTTGGCCGGGTTTCCTCTGGGCCCTGGGGTTCCATACTGCTCTGGCTGGTGGCGTTGCAGCCCAGAGAATAATTACCCTCTGGGGGATTCCTTCTATTCCACCCAGAGCTGAGTACATTTAATAAGTATTGTTTTATTCCAGAAGGGATTTTATTGGGCATCCCTAGGCATTTTCACTTCACGCGGTTCCACTAGATGAGGAAAAGAAGTGTTTGAACATCCAAATGGAACGTGCGCCGCATTTTGCAACGAGAGGCGCCAACACACTGCTGTCGGACCTGGTGTGAATCCTGTAGGAATGAATCTTTTATGGGGGGCTGGGGGGCAGCATCTGGATGGCCACATAGAAAGTTCAAAAGCACAACTGACTGTAGAGATGCTTTCTAAAAGAACTTTCAAAGGCTCCAAGCGACTTTGGACACTTTTGACTGTGTTATTTTACACGTGCTCCCCTTACCTTGAAGCTCCATCGCTTATTAAGGATGAGGCAGCCGCATTCATTAATTCGGCGAGTTAAGTTCTGGCCACCATTCCACAGGCCCCCTACTAGATGCTGGGAGATAAAGTAGAGACACAACAATCAACAACACCCCACTCTCCTGGAACTGACATTCTCCTGGGGGGAGGGAGACCATTTAAACAAATAAAAATAATACATGAGATCCAAACTTTGTCCTCACTGCCTCTAAGTCAATTCTGACTCATACAACCCTATAGAACACCGGTGGACCTGCATCTGTGAGTTTCGGACACCGTAACTCTCTATGGGAGTAGAAAGCCTCATCTTTCTCCCGCTGAGCGGCTGGTGGTTTCGAACTACTGCTCTTGCGGTTAGCATCGCAATGTGTAAGTACTCTGCCATCAGGGTTCCATATATGAGATTGTCATTTCATATATATATGTGTGTGTGTTTGTGTGTGTGTTTTTAAACTAGGGTTGCTAGGAGAAGAAGTGGAGTCTGTGAGTGGTGCATGGGTTAATGAGCTCGAGTTCAAGGTTCATCAGAAGAGAGGCCTGGAAATCTACTTCCGGGAAATTAGCCAGTGAAAGCCCTGCAGGGCACAGGGCTGTTCTGACACACGCGCTGCCTCAGAATCCGGGGACAGCAGCCTGGGGCCTAGGAATTGTTTCCTACAGGGTCAGGGAGCCTTGAGCAGAGGCCGGGAGACAGGGAGGGAATCCACTATAGAAATCTCTGGAAAGAAGTGGCCAGGCAGCCTGGGACCATTTCCCCTGAGACCTCGAGTCCCTGCCCCTAATGCCTCCTTCCCTTCCTGTTTGTGTCCTTTGAGAGCTGTGGCCGCTCAGTCTAGATCAGGATCAGGGGGGATATGAAACTGCTCCTGATTGCTTCCTTGTTGTGGGACGCCGAGGGACGGAAAGGCCCAGCGTTTGCAGAGCTGCTTTTTTTCCCCCGGGGGTAACCAAACCACAGCCAACCATCCTTCCTTTGATACCAATAGACAGTGCCAGAACGCACTGCAGACGGTTCGTATCGGTAGACAGATCACGTGTGGTTGGCTAGGGAGGTGTTAGGGCCCCAATTTCATAGACGAGGAAATGCAGGTGCAGAGAGGAAAGGCGACAAAGCCCAAGGACACGTGACCAAGGTGTGTGGACTCCTGAGGCGTCATGTACATGCGCTTGGTTAGAAGACAAGCGGGACCGGAAAGGATACGAGTAGGGGAGGCGGGGTCGGGGGTCGGGGGAGGGACTGTCTTTTAACCCCAAGGGATCTTGGTGCACCTTGGGCTAAGTGTTGGGCTGCTAACTGACCGGTGAGTGGTTCAAACCCACCAGCCACTCCCCAGGGGAAAGTCTGCGCCCGTGAAGGTTTCCAGTCTTAGAAACCCCATGGAGCAGGCTCTACTCTGACTGAATGGGGCCGCAGAGCAGAATCAGGGGCAGTGGACTACTGTGCCCACTCTGCTTCAGACCTGCTCTCTTCTGACCCCTTTCCCCCTCATCCCCGGAAGAGACGGAGGGCAACTTTTCTGCCCATTATTTGACCAGTTTAGGCGACTCTTCTCTCCCCCTGATTAATGATGCTGGCTGCTTTCGGCTCTGTCATGTCTAGTGATCCTTACACTAGATGAGAAATTGGCAGCTCAGAGAAATGGGCTTCGTCAAGATCACTGAGGTGGGAATGGTGCAGCTGGGATTCAAACTTTGCTGTTTCTGAATGTAAAGTTTGACGCTCTCTTCTGCACACCCTGCTGTCTCAGGGCCAATCAGCTCCTAAGTCTGTACCTTCCCTTTATTTGATGACAAGCCAGCCTCAGGGGCTGGTGATGATGGGCTTCACTCAGCCAATCCCACCCTTGGAGAGCATCTATCACAGCAGGTGGAGCAAAACCCAGGTGCAAGGGGCGCTCCCCTGGGTGAGCTCAGGACTCCCATTTTTGCATCCATCTCAGCGGCTCCAGCAGGATCACTCACACTCTGGGTCAGGCATGGCGCAGTCCCCTACCCAGCCCTCCCTCGGGCCTTGGAGCGAGCTTCTTTCAGTCTCTCCACTTCCCAAAAGAGGAGACTTAGGTTTCCAAGAGGTTCAAGGTCCTGAGCTAGAAGCTCCGCTGGTACACAGTGATGCTAGGATCGACCTGTGATCGGCCATGCAGACTGGCCAACTGGATCCTTCTCCAGACACTGTGTTTCCTCCCAGGGGGCCAGGGTGTCCCTTTGCACGTTGATGACCACATCCAGGGCCCACGTGAAGCTGTTCTGTCCCTTCTCGTGATGCCATGGAGATGGTTGTGTCGCACCGTGGGCGTGCCGCGGCCTCGAACATCCTCACAGCCCAGCTACTTTTCCTTCTCAGGGTCCTGGGTACCCTCCTGCTGCTTGGAGTCCAGCTTGTCTGCCCACAGCCGTCCACTGACCACAGAAAGGTAAGCCACCTCCCTCCGAAGGCTCGTCCAGTGTGTACGAGGGTGGGAGTGCATGGGGGGCTGGCGTGACGCCGGTCAAAAGCCTGAGCATTTTCCTGTTTGGAGGTGAGTCACCTGCTGGTTCTAAAGGGAAGATCTCTTCCTAGAATGCTTTCCCGAGACCCGAGATGTAGTTTGTTAAATATGTAGTTGGTACTAGAGCTGGCCTCTGGCTTCACAACTTGGGTCATGCCGAGTGAGACAGACATAAAGGGGCCGGTGAAGTGCCATGGAGTGGGCAGAGCTTAAAGAACCACCCCGGAACAGGGGCATCTGTTGGAAGCTCTTATATCCTCTCAGGGAGCAAGGGGAGGGAAGATGAGAGAGAGAGAGAGAGAGAGATGCGGTTACAGCTGTGGCTGTAGTAGTGAAGGGGATGCTATCTGGGAACTATTGTCCGGTACAGGGACTCAGGATGGAGGGAGCTGGGAATTCAGCTCTTTCTTTCCCGCTGGTGAGCCTAGAAGACAGAAGAAGCCCTCTCAGTCCCCAAAGAGCCTGGGCCGTGAGACTGAGTGGCGAAGGGTGGGCACAGCGTATGTGGACAGTGTCCAGCGTGTTTCCTTCAGGCTCGGCGTGTTCCATAGTAAATGAACCGACTCCACCCTGCTGTCTACGCCAGCCTCATGCTGTCCTGCAACAGAGCCGCTGCTTGGTCCTATTCTCTTAGGAATGAATCAGTGGTGGCGCGACTCTAGAAATTCTGAGAGCTGTAAGTAAATGCCTCTCAGCGACGAAGGAACTGCTCCTGTCTCCCTGTACTGAGATGTCTGCTTCTCTGAGAGGCATGTTGTCAGCCATTTGTCCCCGAGGCCGGAGTGTGAATGAGTGTGTGGGGCCTTTTCTCAGAGAGAGTCTGAAAGGGGAAGCTCAGGAGAGAAGAAGGAGGAGAAAGGAGGTTTGCTGATGTCTGGCAGGTTTGAGACCGCTGCTCTTCTGATTGGTGGGATTTCCTTTAGGCTTGTGTATTTGTTCCGACATAATGTTTTTTGGGGGCCAAATATAAACCCAAAATACACGGTGCTGTATCCTCCACTCAGATGTAGGATGTTAGCTTCATGAAAGCAGGCATCAGACTGTCCAGTTCGCTGCCATATTCCCAGCTCCTGAATACAGGCCGGCATGTCAATAGAATAGTTATTGACAGACTGCATGGATGGATGGATGGGTGCATGGATGGATGGATGGACAGTTGGAACAGCTGACCAAGGTCAGGTATTTTTTAGTTTTTGTTCTTGTTGGTTGCCTGAACCGTCATGGCTGAAAATATCTCATAAATGCCTTTTTATCCCTTTTGCTGTTTCTCTTCATTTTTCAAAAGTTAGCCTGAAAGATATATACATATGACACATATATATAGACATGTAACATGAACAAAGGCCCTCAAATAGGTATTATCTTCATCATTCTTAATTTTTTGTTTTGAGAAATTGAAAAAAAAATAAGTTCACTTCAGGGTATTATTTAAAAGATTGAAAACCAGTATATCACATTTGGGGGCATGGTACCTCACAGCCCCACTGTAAGACGAGATGGAGGTATGAGACAGAGGGGGTTTGAGATAGATAGTTCATTCTCCATTCCTCCCTGAAATCATGCATGCATACTTTTTTTTTTTGAAAGACATGCCTTTGAGAGTAATTCTCAAGTCTAGTAAGGATGTGCACGTTGACTGTGAAGGTCATTGAACTCGTCCAAGAGGCAAAAGCAAAATCAGTGCTTTCTTCATCAACAGTGAGCGTCTTCTTGCTGCTGCTCGACCGGAGATGTGCAGGCTGTGCCTGCCGTCCCGTGACGTCTCAGAGGCCTGCCAGGGGACGCAGCGGTGGCAGCCCCAGCTTCCACGTGTCCCTGCGAGATGGGAAAAGAGGGATGCGTGACGGCAGAGTGGACAGACCATTGCTGGGAAGGGTTTGAGAAGCACTCCTTGGGCCCATACGAGACCATTGCTCATCTGATTGCTCGAATCCCTGTGGATCGTGTTCCGACACAATGTTTGGGGGGCCAAATATAAACGGACACTGCCGTATCCTCCATTAGGACGTTAGCTCCATGAAGGTGGGCTTCAGAGCTGTCTTGGTCTCTGCCACAAATTGGGAAAAACAACAACAACAACAGTTTATGAGTTACTTCAGAGTGTTGACTTAAAAGACTAAAAAACAAGTAGATCACATTTTGGTTATATGATGCCTCACAGTCAAACTATTAGGAGGTATGAGATAGAAAGATAGTTCCTCCCCCCCATTTCTCCACTCATCAGATGTTCTTCTAAAACCCCGAATCCACTGCCATGGATAGAGAGTACATGGTGTTTAGGAGTCCTGGTCATGTAGTCGGTTATACGGTGGTCTGATATCCAGTAGGTCAGCCGTTCGAAACCACTAGCCCCTCCATGGGTGAAAGACGAGGCTTTCTACTGCCATGAAGAGTTACTGCCTTGGAAACGCATAGGGGCAGTTCTCCTCTGCCCTAGAGCGTTGCTGTCAGTCTGCATTGACTGGAGGGCAGTGAGTTTGCTTTGGTTGTATCAGGCTCAGTGCGCTCTCCCGCCCTGTCACAGGGACATAGCTCTGCTCCTGTCGAGCAATCATCACTGGAGACAATGTACGCATACATCAGGGTCGCTGGATTCTAGCGATTTACTTACAAACACAGCTAGGACGTTGGATTTGTTTCCTGGACTGTTGTTCCCCCAAATCTGCTTGGAAGTCTGGATGCCATGGGTGAGTTTGTCCCCAAATCATGTCCTCCCTGTGGACAAGAGAATAACACAAAACAGGGCCTGACCCTGTGCCATCTCCGTGACCGGGTCTGGGTCAGGCCTGCGATCCACGGCATTTTCACTGACGGAGTGTTGGCAGGATGGCGCCAGGCCTTTCTTCCTGGTGTCTCTCAGCCTCGAGGTTCTGCTGCAAATGGTTCAGCACATCGCAGCATCCGGGATAGGAAGGGTTAACTGCAAGGATATTTGTTATGGCACTGGAAGCTGGACTCGATCTCTCCTGGAATCCTGAGGAACACAAAGGGCTTAGGGGGTAGGGTGGAGGACATTTCTTCATTAAAATATTAGAATTATTGTCACTGTAGCAAATTGTTTTCATTACATAGATAAATCATCATCGAATTCCCACTCACCCATTGTTTCATGGCAGAACCCGCAGTCCCAATCTGGAGCCTCGAGGGTCAGAAAGAATTAGAAAACCATTCATGGTAAATTCTTCAGGGACAGCATTACTAATTTGTAATTGCGTATTGTAACTTAGTACGTATAGGAAAACTAGATGCCAAAAGACCTTTTTTTTCCCCCTTTCTCATTATAACGGCATGTCCGACTTCAGCATATGGAAGCATTCCTCCAGTAAGTTATTCTGAGGCAAAGACATAATTTGTAAACGCTGTCAAGTAAAATATGCATTTCTAAACACTGCTCGGATGACTGGATCCGTTTCTGCAAAGGCTGTGCTGCAGTCGTGAGGGACAAAAGGACCGTGGGGAAGAGAGGACAGCAGCGCCTTCCAGATAGTTCTGTCCGGGAGGCCTCCTCTTTTCTCCTGCGACATGGGCATCAGACGAAGCTACTCGACCTCTGTTGTTAATAATTATCTAATGACCCCTGGCAAACGATTCCATGAACCGAAGTTCGGTGGGGGGAGGGAGGGAGTACTTGCACACAAGAGGAGACCAAGAGCCGGATAAAACTTGACCATGACTTTGATATACACAGTATGTTATTAGCAGGAGGAATCTGTTGACTGTAAAAAAAGACAGACATTAATGAAACTGTTCTACTGGCTGCCGTGATGCACAGGTCACCCCGTGGATGGTCTCCACAGTCTACCCAGAGGGAGTGTGACACGCTCCAGCCTGGAATGGGAAACACACCTGTGTGCACTTTGCTCACAACTGCTCAGCTCGAATGGGGCTACGTTTTAAATGGAAAAAAAAGAACCGGAATACTTATCACAGATCATTTTTCAGAACTGTGACAAACCAGAAGGAGGAAATAGGAAAAACCTCACCAGCCAAAGGAACCACTCTTCAACCTGCTACATATAGGAACTTTCAAACAGAGAGAACAGAGACACTAGAGAATGAAATAAGGGAGAAAGGAAATACTGGTTTTGCTAACTGATAAGCAAGTCACGGTGAGAGCGGCTGGGGCCCTCGTGATGGGTGGAAATCCCTCCAGAGCTGCAGGAGGATGTGCAACCGTGACTTCCGATGGCCTCTTGACAAGCCGAGGCAGTGCGATGTTGAAGAGAAATGCTCTAGAAGGGGAAGAGAGAAGTTTTAGTTCACATAAAAGCTTTGCACGCTACTGCTGCAGTATTTAAGAAGGAGGAAGGAGGAACCAGCAGTAAGAAAACACATGAATTATCTTCATGCTTTGGGGAGGCAGAGACTTCTTAAACAAGACACAGAAAGCCTTACCCAAACAAGATGAGATGGATGGCTTGGACCACATTAAAATCGAGAATGTATCTATTGCCATTAGTTGCTGTCAGTTTGCTTGTGACTCACGATGGCTCTCTAATAAAGAGTAAAATAAGCCAGAGATACAGAGAAGAGGCAATATTATGCTTGACAAAAGTTCATGTCCAGAGCATATAAAGAGCTCCTATGAATGTGTGTGTGAATCACTGAGGAAAAGAGGAACCATCTAATTTTAAATTGAGCACACAAATTTAATTAGGCAAACAGGCATTTCACGCAAGAGGATATCCAAGTGGCCAGTAGGCATATGACCGTGACTCCCTATAGAAATGCAAATTAAAAATGTCAATTTGACACCCCTAAACTGGCTAAAATGGTAACTGTTGGCACTACCAAGTGTTGTCAGCAAGACGGAGCAGCTGAGACTTAGACGTCCATTGCTGGTGGGGGTTTAAACTGGTAGAGGCACTTAGCAAACTGCTCAGCAGTATGCCTTAAAGCCAGTGTATGCCTGTTCTGTGGCAAGT